TAGGTGACAATTACAACCCCTTTGAAATAGTAAGGAGAGAGTGGGAGAAAGAGAGGGTGAGCAGAGGTAAGGGGTCCAGGTCAAAGAGGAATGTTTCAGAATTCAGGTACTAGAGAACCAAAAGGTCTGCATGGTTAGAAAGCGGCAGGGCCATGTTGGTGAATGACCACTGTGGCACAGAAATGAAGCATGTTGGAGAGAAGGAAGCAGAGGAACTGGGTGATCGCCAGAATTACTGAACTGATGAAAGATGGTAGTGTAGGTTGGCAAGTGCCAGTCACTGCCTTGGAGCTCCAGAGCCTGATAGTCTAGAAGAATGCACAAAATAGTGCTGATTGGTAGTGTTGAGGACAGAGGTGGTGAACTGAGCTTTAAAAAGCCGCGAGATGGGGGCTGGGGTTGTGGCTCAGTGGTAGAGCACTTGCCTAGCACATGTGAAGCACTGGGCTCAATTCTCAGCACTGTATAAAAACTAAATAAAGATATCTTGTCCATCTACAACTAAAAATATTTTTTTAAAAAGCTGCAAGATGGAGACAAGACAGGTATGAGACTGACAGAGATGAGGGGAAGAAAAGTGTAGTGGGTTGGGACCAGAGAAAAGAGGGAAGTAACCTGAGGACTACCAGGTCACCATGGGTGTGGTTGGGGAGGGTTTGCCTTCCACAGCACTTGCCACTCACAGGTGATGTTCTCAGGAGGCAGTAAGGGCTTTGTAAAGCATTCTTTATCCATTGAACTGGCATTTTGCGCACTCTGGAGCTGCAGTTAAAAAGTGGAGGACAGAATTATCTTGAATGTATAAAATTTTGTTTCATGGAAGAAAAAAAAAAGGTTGTGTGGCTAATACCCACACGGTGAGGAAGCATATCCCAAACATTCAAATTTATTATAAAGATAATAATATCCTTGTTTTTGGGTCCTAGACTTCTTTAGAAGTTCCATTTTTTTCAGGAACAGTGTAAAAATGTATGTTGTCATCAAATTCATTTATATAGTTCAATTATTAGATATTCTATTACGTTTTTCCCTCTTAGTTTTGATTAACAGGTTTACTCTAACACTCCTATCCTTGAATGTGAATGGCAGGTAGTGGTGGTAATGGGGAGGTATGACCTGATTCTTTAACAAGTTCTTTTAATCTTCTGCTTTAGTAACAAACATAAGCAACTATTTAATCACTCACAGGAACATTTTCCTATACCTCTTATTTAAATATTCTATTACATTTTCTTGAGCCATCAGGGACTTCTGCTCTGTTCATCTATAAAGTTTTCTTGCTAATCTTGCAAATTATTTTCTTTTCTCTTGCCCTCCCCCACTCCTCCTCCTCCTCCTCCTCCTCCTCCTCCTCCTCCTCCTCCTCCTTCTTCTCTTTGGATGTTTTAGGTTCTAAGCAAAGCCAACAATAATTAATAGAAATTAAGAATGCTGGCACGGAAAGCTGGTCCTTATCAATCTCTCACACTGTAAATGTGCTGCACAGAATCATAATAGGTTAGCTTCCAAGTCCCACGAAAAGGCATGAAAGAGGCCAAATATATTTGGATAACACTCAGTAGAGTCTACTGCTGTGAAAAGCTGTCTGTCATATAATTCCAAGAATTCAAATGAGTTGCTGCAATATTGCCAGGATTATCTGACAGAATCACATCTTATTTAGACCTTCTGGCCTCAACAAAGTCTCATATTTCTCTCAAAGTCAAGATTATTAAATGTCTATACTGTTCAATATAATAGCTACTGACCATATGTTGCTGTTGCACATTTAAAATACAGCTAGCCTGAGATAGACAGCTAAGCTGAGACAGACTATAAGTGTAAAACAGATACTAGATTTCAAAGACTTAGTATAAAGAAGAATGCATTAATATTTTAAATTTTATGATAAATTTAAAAATTTTAAAAATATTAACTACATGATAAAATCATAATTGGGGTTAAAAATAAAATGTATTATTAAACGTTCTCTTACTTTTTTGTGCTTTAAAATATGGCTTCTTGAGAATTTTAAATTACTTGCTTGACTCCTTGTATTTTTACTGGGCTGCTCTAGGCTCTCTGCAGTTTAGAGCTGGGCCACAAGGAGGCACTAAAGTATGGTGCTTAAGGTCAGGGGTACTAGGTCAGACAGACCCAAGTTCCATTCTTTTGCCTTATGGAAGAGGAACCTTGTCACATAATTTTCCAATCTTAAGATCCTTGTTTATAAAACAAGAATAATGACACTGCTTTCCTCTTAGAGCAAATCTAAGCTGCTTATATCTATAGAGATAACTTAGGTTCTTAGAATGAGCATTAACTTATAGATTATTAAAAAGAAAAGATACAGTTCTAAAAAGTGAATTATAATAACTCCAACATTATCTCAAGAGACAAAGAGGGCATAAATCTTAAATAGTAAAACAGATCATGTCATACCACATTTAGAATATTCTTATTCTTTTCTTGCTTTTGACCCATTGCCATTGGTTCAGAAATATATTAAGGTACGTAGAAGTAAAGTTCGGAGCTATCTAAATGTAGATTAGCTCTGCTGTTTTCTGGGTCACCTTTCTCTGTCACTTGGCAATGCAATTTCAGCATCATAAACCAACTTTACTATTTCCTTAGGAAGATACAGTTAGGCAATTGCATGCCATTAAATAGTTTAATATTGTGTAGTTTGGGGTCATAGAACTATTTGAGAAGTACAGGGAATAGGAAGCAAATAGGACAAGGAATCCAAAGAGAGGGATTCAATCCTAGGTTGGCCACAGCCAGATAAAGGTCTTGAGAGTTTTCTAGAGTCCTGGTTTTTTCACCTATAAAATAGGGATATGGATGATAATACCATGTAGAATGAAGGTAATACGTAAATATTAGCTATTAACATTATTTTAATCCACTGAGATTAATCTCAACCTCTGGGATGGCTGGTGTTCACCTGTGCACCTGGCCTGATTTGTTATTATTTTTAAAGGGAGCTTCCTAGTAGCAGTGATTTTTTTCTTTTTTTCCCCGCTGCAGTTGTACCTCTCTTCATTCTCAGTTGGTTTTCATCATTCTCAGTTTTTGTCAGACTTTGACAATGTCAACTAATTTAAAAAGCAAAGTTTATTAATTTATTGTTGATCTATATTTTATTTCTTTCACTTTATTTGATAGTATTCTCTTGATTTTGTGTTCCAATAGGTGGATGAAGCCATTCTTTTTTTTTTTTTTTGTGGTGGGGGAGGTACCAGCGATTGAACTCAGGGGCACTCAACCACTGAGCCACATCCCTAGCCCGATTTTTGTTTTTAAAGAGAGAGAGAGAGAGAGAGAGAGAGAGAGAGAGAGAGAGAGGGAGAGAGAGAATTTTAATATTTATTTTTTAGTTTTCGGCGGACACAACATCTTTGTTTGTATATGGTGCTGAGGATCAAACCCAGGTCGCACGCATGCCAGGCGATGGAGCTACCGCTTGAGCCGCATCCCCAGCCCCCTAGCCTGATTTTATATTTTATTTAGAGACAAGGTCTCACTGAATTGACATTGCTGAGGTTGGATTTAAATTGTGATCCTCCTGCCTCAGCCTCTCAAGCTGATAAGATTACAGGTGTGTACCATGGAACCAAACAGATAAAGCCATTTATCTAGAAACAAAAGGTAAACAAAAACCTTCAGATCTAGATGGCACCTATCCGCTCATATTATATCAGATTATTTTGTGATAAACTCACCCCAATGCTTCTGTTCAAATGAGATTAAATAAACACACACATTAATAGAAAGGACAAATATGTGCATAAATATGTTGATGTCAACAAGCAATCAGGAAGGTAAGGATGAGACATCATACTGTGTTACTGAGACACTGAAGACCATCCTATTAGGAAGAGGATAAAAGAACAAAGTAAGCCATGAGCCTGCACAGTACTGGAGAGGCAGTCAGACATGCTCAGTAGCCTACTCAGTAAGCATGTGGAGTGACAGCCTTCTGATACCCAGGTAAATATATCACTACCTCTGATTCCAGCTATTTTCACCTTGTAAATTTCAATTTCTGATTTTTAATTTGTGATTTTTAAAAAAATTTAAGTTTAGAAGCTATATTCTATAACCACCACCATTATTACTATTATTACTATTATCATTGTCCGGCCCATTACCCACATGCTTAGAGTTTACCTTAATAAAACAAAAGATGCAAAAGGATACTCATCACACTGCCAACCTTTATGTGGACAGTGAGTGAAAATCGAACATCAGTGATCATGGCCAAGAGAGGCTCCTAAGACCAAAAGTCACCACTACTAATCCCAGACATGCCTCTGGGATTGTGTTTATGCCATTAAATTACATCTTTAGAGAATGCTGCTTTTGCCAAAGCATATTACATAATATGTATCTTGGGAAATGTCTTATCAAGGGAAAAAAACTTTGAAAAATGCTGTGTCTATCAGAGTTTCCTTCTTGAAGATTCACAAGACATATCAGCACATTACAGCTTCTTGCAATAAAAGAACTATCTTCACTTAATTCAGCAAATCATAAATTTATTTGGCCATATAACCCTTTCCAATCCCTATCCCTTTATACTCTACAAACATCTCCTAGAACCAGTATTTCCAGAAAGACACTCTGGGAAACACACAGAATTAATTGTGATGAATATTATGCTTCCCAAAGTTTAAAAACCCTAATTATTCACCTCTAGGAAAAGGTGACAACAGGAAAAGACCTGAGTATTAAGAAGGGAAGGGTTCTAATTTTTTTTTTTTTTTTGGTTCCCAGGGACTGAATCCAGAGGGGCTTACCCAGAGTCACATCTCTAGCCCCCACCCTTTTTTTGGGAGGACAGGGTCTCCCTAAATCACGAGAGCCTTGGTTAGTTGCTGAGACTGCCCTCAAACTTGGGATCCTCCTTCTTTAGACGCCCAAGCTGCTGGGATTACAGGCTTGTACAACTATACCCAGCAAGAAAGGGTTTCTTAAAATCACAAAGCCACCTGATCAATGGTGTGTGTTCCACTTACTTAAGGAGATTCCCAAGATTGAAGAGAGCCCGGTTGTGTTGCGGATGGAGCTGGAGAGCTCTCTGATAGTACATCTTTGCCTCTGCAGTGTCTCTTGTCAGTGTTCCAAGGTTGTTCAGGGCGCTTGCATGCCGTGGATACAATCTGAAAAAGTGGAAATAAGAAACCATGACTCCTAAGTTGGGCAGGCACAGTTTGCTTCTTTCCCCTCAGGTAAGCCATAACCCCAATGAAACATTGCATTCTTTTATTTTAATGGCAAGTCTGTGTCAAATCTTCATGGTCAAAGATTTTTTTGCAGCTGAAGGCATGTAAGTATGGAAGGGGAGCACATATTTGAAACACAGAGGCATAAATAAACAACTCCCAGACAGACAAAGAATAAACAGTATGCTAATATAGCAGGAATAAATAAATTTTAGTCCTTCAGAAGCCTACAGTCACTTTCAACTTCCTTGGCTCAGGTGCTGAGTTTCCGGCTGGTGGCGCTGCTGACCAGCTGCCTCGGCAGTGCCTGCTGTTTGCACAGATGTGGGAGTCCTGTAGGGAGGGATCTTCATAAACATCTCTGGGTTGGAGTGTAAGCAAGACTACTGGGGCTGAGAAAGGATGATGCATAAAATCTCCCCCTAAAAACAAACTCCAGAGTGACTCTCTGTCTTGACATTCTTTTTCCATTTTCATTCATTTCCTTTCTCCTACTTCAATTTGGTTCCAACTGGATTGAGATAGTTCTTGGGATAAAAATCTTGAGCACTTAAAACATCTAAACATCAAAAATTTAATTAATGCACAATTAAGTGAAAGCCATCATCCTAATGTGCAAAAGTTAACGCCAAGAGAGTGGGAAGCAGATCAGTAGACCAAATTCATGCTGATTAAGGAAGGGAATCAAGGTACTTAATTTCAGAATTATAAATTATTATTAATTCTAAAATTATTAATTTCAGAATTATAAAGAAGCCAAGTCAGTGTAGAATCCAGTGGCTTCTGATACATTTGGAGTAGACATAAGTTAGCAGCCTAATAGGTTTGTTCCATCGCTGTCACTAGAGTGTTCTGAATAAGCCTGTGGAAAGGGCTTAAATGTAGAAAAGCTGAGAAAATGCCCTTGTAATAAAACTAGGTTCTGTACTTGCCAATTTTTTTGACAGTCAAATGTCACTCTGCCCTCCCTGCTCTGTACCTACTAAGAAGATCAATTTAATTTGCGGACAGAAGAGGCCCTTATTAAAATGTGAAGGAAGGTGAGTTAAATAGCTTTTTTTTTTTTTTTTTCTCTTTGCTCAACTTGGAGATTCCTGTTTATTTGACGCCTCCCTACTCCTTATAGAGCAGCTATGAACATCTTTTAGAACTAGTACTCCTAGGAAGGACACTGTGTCGGGCTTCTCTAGGCTGACAAGGGATAAGGGACAGAATCAGTTCAAATACATCCTCTTAAAGCTTGAAATCCCTAATTATTCACACTGGCTCTGGAGGCTGTTGGAGAAATAGAGTTAGGCCAAAGAAAAACACTGAGCCAGCATGTGTGCTGCTGGTGGCTTCTCTCTGGGCACATTTAATTAGCACAAAAAACTTTAGGAGCCCTGATACCAGCCACTGAGCACCTAGCCTCACAGATCCTGGAGACAAGTGCCTGGCACTCTCTCTGAGATCCCATCAGAGGGGATCAGAGCTATAATCAAAGTCAGAAGAAGCGCCAGGCTCTGGAAAGGACCTTGGGAAATCTGTGTGCAATGATTTCCTTGGAATTGACTGCAAAGCACATCATGGCCAGAAGTCAAATTCTTCCCAAGAAACTTTTGTTTCTGTTTGTTTTTGATGTTGAGCAAAACATTTTGACCTCTGAAAGATTTAAGGGGTGTCCCGTGGGTATGGTGAGGGCAATTTCCATGCTTCTTATTTCTTCTGTGACAAGCAATAATAGACTATTGGGGACATGTGTCCTCCTTTAACTTAGAAAATGTATTTCATAAGGCTTTCTCTTTCTCTGATTTGTTTAGGCTTTGGAGCCTTCAAGATAAATGTCTGAGGTGAAAACACTAAGGAAAAGGACAGTCTAAATTCCCTAAGAGCTTCCATGATGGCTCACCTATGTACTAAGGCACCTGCTTGCTCTGCCAAGCAGCTGGCCCTCTCCAGATGGTTCTCAGCCCATCTCCACGAACTTCACATTCACTCAGGATCCCACTGCTATGAAAATGAGTAGCTATGTACATTCAAAGTTCAGTGACTACAGAAATGACTTACTTTCTTTTCTAAACAGAAACAGAATACAAGGCCACAGAACTCTCGAAATCAAAAGCAAGTGTTGAAAAGTGAAGTAAGGGACAAGAGAGGCATTATGAAGTCTTTAATATGCCTTGTGCTGTAAGAATGGGTCTGCAGTTCAGAAACCTGAGGCTTAGGACTCCTCCTAAGGTCTTCTTGCCCAGCTAGAGTCAGGGAAGAGGCTGCATGTAACAGAGCCCATCTCTTCCAGAAGGACACTGCGACACTGCTACTACTCTAAGTCAGTCACTGTGAGCACCAATGATAGACCTCTACCTGGAAAAGATATAGACACTGTTTATTCATAGTCATAGCACCGGTTTGCTAGTAATATCCTTTCACTATCTAATTAGGTTCACCTAGTCACAGCAAGCATTGCATTATTTATGAAACAAAGCAGAATTTCATTAAAAGGATTCTTCACAGGTCAGGAAAAATTATCTAGAAAATTAGATGTAGATTTTTTTTTTTTTAACTACAAATCCCAGTGCTATTTACTGCAGACCTGTGCAAGGGCAAATTTTATTTTGTGTGTTTACTTTTAAAATAAATTTGTGTTTGAATTAGCTTGGATCTAATGCAATCCTGAGAACTCCAGGAGGGGAATTTTCTGTTGGAAAGATGAATAATTTAAGCAATGTCTATGTTGCTACATTGACTGTCAGAATAAATTAAGTCCTTCTTGACTTACTTCTACAGGTATGTTTTACAAAAGGCCCGTTGGAGATTATTCCCATCCCCACCCCCAAAAATTCAAGATTCACTGAATTGGAGCAGAATAGTGATTTTTCAGGTTGATTTTTAAAGACCAGCATGAATATTCACTGGATTTTCTTTCTCACAGTCTTAGTTCGTTCTTTCGGATTATTTACGGGGATTATCTGGCTACTTCTTTGTTATTATTACTTCAATAAATTAAACTTAAGATTTTATTATAGAGAAACCATGTTATGTTGTCATATAGTTCTGGGGTATGGGGAAGTTTATTTTTTCCCCCTTGAAAAGATACATAGAGATCTGGTTCTAGGAGCTGAAGAGAACTTTTTCAAGTGTTGGATAATTCTGATTCCTGAGAAACAACAGCCATTTAAGCATTTAAGGGGTWCTAAATTTTTATCAAGTGATATTTCCTGAAGCAGAATTAATAAAGTATAGGTAGTCAGGGCATGATTCTCCTCCATTCCCCTAGTCATATTATCTCTGAAGAACGAACATCAACAACATGTTAATAGGATATATCCACTGGGAGGGAGCAGTTGCCTCAGTCAAAAATGGAAGGCAAGGATAGAAGAAAATAAGTTCTAGGGTGAGTTAATGGTATTTTCCATTTGAAAGGACTTTCTCATAAGTTGTTGTATTTAACCTTGAAAATTCAGTAAGCTTACTCTACTCTTTTACAGTTTAAAAAAGGGAGGCTGGGAAAAGTTAAGTAAATATTAGGTTATATTTTTTAAAAAAAGATATCTCAGAAACACTGTGTTCTTAAATGTTAAGAAGGTGAATGGTCACTATATATCTATTTACTTTTTCCCTAATGATACAAGAGTCATGCAACCTTCTATAAACAAATATATTGCTACAAGTTAGAGATTCCATTTGGAATAATTTCTACTTTTTTTTTATTTGACCAATTCTATGAAATAGTTCTCAGTGATAGAAGTGAAATAAACTCAGCACTCAGGAAGTTGGCCACAGAGATTCTTATGCATTGGGAAAAAATTGTGTACTGCTATACAAAATAGTCATGGCATCTCTAAAAGCACAGTATTATGGGAAATATTTAGAATTAACAATACTCAGAAAGTGTGTAAGACTGGGCTCTCTGGTTTAGTGTTTTAAAGTTTTAACCTTAACTAAAGATCCACAGAAGATGTATGTATATGACTAAAGTTTGGCTTTATATTTTATTTCAGTCATTTAAATTTTACAATCTGTTTCAAAGTTAGGGATGCTGTGAATTTTTCACTGTCTGAGTGGCCTGGAAGGCATTTCATTGTTCAAATAATATTGAATCATGTGCTACAGTCTGCAATTTCCTTTCAGAGTATACACACCCTGATTTATTTGTCTGATTTTCATTCCACCCATTAATTTATTTGAGGTTAACTATGCTGAGGTCAGATATTTATTTTCTATTTCCTGTTGAGGAAAAAAAGAATCCAAAAGAAAAACATGACTAGGAAAAAAATCCAACCAGAAAATCTAAATTTCACTGGACTAAAATATACACAGATTAAACTTTTTCAGAAGTTGACAGCATATTTTCAACTGTATTAGTCTCTGATATATTGTAAGTCCCTGGTTTCTTCATGTGATAAAATTTAAATCATTGTGTCACTAAATTGCACATAGGTAAGATGAATCATTTTAGTGGTCTACTTCTTTAATTGCTTGAAATTGCCATTAACGCTTAGCAAATATTATCTACCCATTCTCCCTTCAATGTACTCCTTCTGATCCACTAAAGACAGCCTTGGGGATAAAACCTCAAATGCAATTTAGGGAAACAGGACACATTCTCCAAAGAGGGGCCACCTAATTTGTCTGACCTCTCCCAAGGGATGACCTCTAAGAGTGATCCGGAAGAACTCCACCCTGTTGATTTTCCAAGACCAAGTAGCGTAAAACCGTGGCTTTCGGATGTCCTCAGGAAATGAGTCATTTTAAATGGCTGAATTTTCCTGATGCCTGAGAACTTACCTCTAGTAGTTGGGAAATTTACTGGGCAAAACCATTCTCTACTCTTTTAAATAGAAATGGTGCATGAAGTAATCAGCCTTTCTCAGAGGCATGGCGGTGACTGTGGCAGGATGGATAGGAAGCTGCTGCCTTGCTGGAGTGGAAAAAACAACTAAGGGGAGTCAGAAGCC